ATTATGATTATGATTATGATTATGATTATGATTATGATTATGATTATTATGATTATGATTATGATTATGATTATGATTATGATTATGATTATGATTATGATTATGATTATGATTATGATTATGATTATGATTATGATTATGATTATGATTATGATTATGATTATGATTATGATTATGATTATGATTATGATTATGATTATGATTATGATTATGATTATGATTATGATTATGATTATGATTATGATTATGATTATGATTATGATTATAATTATGATTATGATTATGATTATGATTATGATTATGATTATGATTATGATTATGATTATGATTATGATTATGATTATGATTATGATTATGATTATGATTATGATTATGATTATGATTATGATTATGATTATGATTATGATTATGATTATGATTATGATTATGATTATGATTATGATTATGATTATGATTATGATTATGATTATGATTATGATTATGATTATGATTATGATTATGATTATGATTATGATTATGATTATGATTATGATTATGATTATGATTATGATTATGATTATGATTATGATTATGATTATGATTATGATTATGATTATGATTATGATTATGATTATGATTATGATTATGATTATGATTATGATTATGATTATGATTATGATTATGATTATGATTATGATTATGATTATGATTATGATTATGATTATGATTATGATTATGATTATGATTATGATTATGATTATGATTATGATTATGATTATGATTATGATTATGATTATGATTATGATTATGATTATGATTATGATTATGATTATGATTATGATTATGATTATGATTATGATTATGATTATGATTATGATTATGATTATGATTATGATTATTATTATGATTAGGATTAGGATTAGGATTAGGATTAGGATTAGGATTAGGATTAGGATTAGGATTAGGATTAGGATTAGGATTAGGATTAGGATTATTATTATGATTATGATTATGATTATAATTATAATTATGATTATAATTATGATTATAATTATGATTATAATTATGATTATGATTATGATTATGATTATGATTATGATTATGATTATAATTATGATTATAATTATGATTATAATTATGATTATGATTATGATTATAATTATGATTATGATTATGATTATGGTCTGTTCGCTACGAATGTCGTGCGGCTAGCTCAGAAGATGTAAGTGTTCGTCCCACCAAATTTATATATACGTGACCGCCCTGTTGACCAGTGAAAAACGCACAGAAAGATTGGGAGTATAAAATGATCTTTTATTCACCAACTTGACACTCGGCCGGGGTGGTGTATTGATAATGTAGAACTCTGTTCCGCCGTCGTCTCCTTCCCACGTTGAACGTCTCGCTGGATCGTGCTGGCTGCGAAGTGGTGTCTCCCTCGCCGGTTTCGCTTGCGATGTTTTCTGCTGCCCTTGGCTCGGCAGGGTTACAGGGACTAGGGATGCGTCACCGTTCCCAGACTAGGGTGAACGGGCACTGTGCTCTCAAGGAGTACGCCTTTCGCAGCCGCAGCCTCCTGTCCCTTACTCTGTCCCGGCCGGTCGCACCGGACGTCGGCTCAATTTCTACTTGACGGTTCAGGCGTACGCCGGAAGCCGCCAACGCAGTCCCTGAGTCAAACGCCAGGTTCTAGACGAACGCTTCCACCCTACCCTTTCTGCCGCAGGCCTAAGAATTCGAAGTATAGGCTGCTCGCTCGACGCTCGTTGTTCGTCGTCCTGGGCTCCTCGTTGTCCTTGTTCTGCCTCCAATTATCACGACCAGCTCCGCTCCTTGTTGGCGACTCGGTAAGCTGCCGTTCTGGGACTCTAGCGGTGGACCGCTGTGCTCTCAACGCATACGCCTTTCGAGACACCAGCTGAACAAACGCGCGTCCTTCCGGGCTAGTCGCACCAGGACCTTGTACAGTTCCTGCAGGACGATCAGGCATACGCCGGAGTTCGCCAATGCAGTCCTTGTAGGCAGGCAGCTAGTTCTAGACAACTTTCCTTCTGAGCCCACGGTTCTTCGTCGAAGGACTCTAATTGTTCACTTTGTTGGACACGTCTCGACGTAGCGATCTTGTTTCCTTGATGACTCCGCACGGCTTTACTTGCTCCTTCACGTTGTTTCACTGGTTACTTGTTCACTTGATGACTGTTACTTGTTGTCCAAAGTCCGGTGCCGTTCCGTTACTTCCTTCTGCCCACGGCTCTCGCCCCTGCCCTTGTCTGGTGCTGAGTGCACCACTCTCTCTCGCCGCACTACCGTTACTACGGGCGAATTCGCCGCGTAACTGGTAACTGGTAGGCCACTGCTTGCATGCGCTAGCTCTGCTTGCTTTCTAACTTGTGGGGAGTTATTCAACTCCTCACATTATGATTATGATTATGATTATGATTATGGTTTATCCTCTGTCGCTTTGGTCCTGTATATCAAGCGCTACTACTATTGGGCCTTTTAATCGTCTGTCCCTGATTTTTGTTACCGTTGGGTTGAATATTTTGGTCGATGTTTTGAATTGACCTTGAAAACGGTCCACTTTGTTGGTTTTGGGTTGGTTGTCTAAAACGGGATAATAAGGGATCAACGTCCATTGGTTGTGTCGGATCCTGTCTGGGTGGCTGTCTTGGTGGTATTTTATTGAAGTGGGGATTTTTACCGTTTGGGTCAAACTTGTCGAACGTGTGTCTGAAAGAACCATATCGGCTGAGCGGTTTATTTTGTTTCGGAGAATGCCTAAAGCTTGGTAGTGTATGGAACTTCCATAATATTTTTCAAATACTTTACAGGCGGTTTGTGACGAACAACGTTGAGCTGATGGTGTTGCAAACTGTTAGCCCTACACCCGTTTAAATCTGGCTCTAACTCGTCAGCGAATGTCGTGGTGTTCTTGAGAGGCTGCAGCTTACGGGTGCTCTTAAATATCTTTAACAATTAAAATGTATCGCGTGCAAACAGGCAACGAGCCAACATCGGCAAGCCAGCAGAGATAGCATAACAAACAGACAGACAGATAGAAATAGTACTTCTCACATTACACGTCCCTAGGTGTAAAGGGGGTGTTATCAGCCCACCCTACATTGGCCAATGCTTTTCAATAAATTACTGCATCAGGCCCCTTTAAATAATTGATTCTACGACGGCTCTCGGGTCAGCATGGAGTTCAAAATATGATTGTTTACTCAGACATTATAATCATTGTTTATTTACTAAATATAAGAGGGAAAGATATGAACTTCATTTAAAATTAGATATTTTTGTACACAGGTATTGTTTAAACCTAGCATGCATAATCCTTAATAAAACATTAAATTTTCATAACTTCATATATCGTTCGATCTCAATTATAGCAACTAAAGAATAATAAAATATATTTTAATTTAATATTACAAATAAACTCTTTTTTTTCTTCACAGTTTGTTTGATAAGAAATATTATCGTTAGCATTCAGACATTTTATTTAGTATTTATTTACTTTACATTTTAATTAGTATTACTTTACACTCGATCACTTAATTGCGTAATAAAATTTCGGATAACTCTCAAAACCTTTAAATTTGCCGCAGCGTATAAAATTGTCAAACTTGGCTCACCTGAGATATCCCACTGATGAAAGCGCTTCCATATGTTGGTGGTGTTGGCTCATACGTCTGCGCATATTTGCATATACATCTCTTGAATTTTACATGTCTCTACTCTTTGCCTATATTCGCAACTTTTTACTCTATAACTAACGATAAAAACTTTCGAACTTCTTGTTTTCTCCTTATGTTCGACTAATTTTCATTTTTATACCCTTGCAGATGGTATTATAATTTCAGTCAGAAGTTTGCAACGCAGTGAAGGAGACATCTCCGACCCTAAAAGTATATATATTCTTGATCAGCATCACTAGGAGAGTCGATCTAGCCATGTCCGTCTTTCCGTCTGTCCGCCCGTCTGTCCGTCTGACCGTCCGTTTCTACGCAAACTAGTCTCTCAGTTTTAAAGCTATCTGCATGAAATTTTCCCAAAAGTTGTCTTTCTAAAGTTGTAGTATATAAGTCGGAACGAGACGGATCGGTCGACTATAGCATATAGCTCCCATAGGAACAATCGGAAAAATAAATTTAAAAAAAATTATAACTTTGGTGTCTTTTAATTTTTTTGTTAGTTCTTCGAGATATAGTAATGGTTAAATATTTCAGAATTACGGTTTAAATTTCATCAAAATTGGACGACTATGGCATATAGCTCCCATAGGAACAATCGTAAAAAATAAAAAAAAATTATAACTTCGGTGTTTTTTAATTTTTTTTTTAGTTCTTCGAGATATAGCAATGGTTAAATATTTCAGAATTACGTTTTAAATTTCATCAAAATCGGACGACTATAGCATTTGCTCCCATACGAACAATCATAAAAATAAATTTAAAAAAATTATAACTTTGGTGTTTTTAAATATTTTTTTTAGTTCTTCGAGATATAGTAATGGTTAAATATTTCAGAATTACGTTTTAAATTTCATGATAATCGGACGACTTTAGCATTTAGCTCCCATAGGAACAATAGTATAGCTGCCATAGGAACTATCGAATAATTAATCTGCAAATCATCATAGCTTCAATGTTTTTAAACGTACACGCAAGTAAATCATAATTTTAACGTTTTCAAGAGTATTTAGTTTTTGAAATAGCTGCAAGGGTATTTGAACTTCGGCTTGCCGAAGTTTGCTTCTAGTTATTTTTGCATTTGCTTCGTCTGCGACTTCTGGTTTTCTAGGAGCAGAAGCAGAAGCAAAATCATATGAAATTAAACTTACTTCAGTTTTTTTAACACAAGCAATGTTTTATCTGACTAAATATGTACCATATACAAATATGCATATATGTACAAATATTCGGTAGAATGTCAAACAGGAAAAATAATGAAGAATGAGAGAATTTAAGCTCATGTTTATTTCCAATATAATTTATAATACATTATTTTTTTAATTTTAGATTGAACTGTGTATGCATAACGGAGAACATTTTAAAAATCGGGAAATAGGAAAGTCGTTTGCTACTAAAGGTGTTCCTTCACTTCCAGAGCCTACTGTACCTCCACCACCACCACCTGCATCTGTAGGTATAACACCAAAGAAATTAAAGCCTGAGCCCATATATGAAGCAATAAACGCAAACAAATTAACGAATTCCAACGAAAAACCAAATGAAAATTATGTATTGCTTCAGTATAAGATTCTTCAAGATAACAACAAACAATCTTTCGCGTCTTATTCTCCATTACTTGGAAAATATCAATTGGAAGATGGACGTCAAGAAAGGCGAAGACAAAGAGTAGAAAAAAAAATTTGTGAACTAAACTGCATTGAAGATGGTCATAAAGATATTCACAACGACGACACATTTTACAATATTCTTGAATTTGCGGAGAACTATTTCAATACACACGACCTTTTGAAAGACGATAACTTTATTAGCAACCCATCAGAAAAGGCTGAAAACATAGCAGATTATAAACACAAGATGACAATATTTTTAAATTCTGACATAATTCCAACATCCCATATTCATATGTACGATCCAGAGAATGTTTTATTGTCTTGTAATATATTTAGAGTAAGTATATTTTTATAATTATAAATATTTACGCAACTTAGACGGGCGTCCATTTTTAAGTTTATGAAATCGCAAATAGGATTGGTCCTATTCTTTGACCGAATACATTGGTATCTGCAAAATAAGGTAAATTTTTTTTTTAATATCATTAATAATCGAGTACAACTAAGCAAGACCGCTCACTTATCTTAAACGTAAAAATTTCACAACCCACTTATTTTATCACTTTGAAGATCAAGCTTAGTTTTCTTGTGTGAAAGTATTTTCCAACGTCCAGAGTGTAAAATGCAAGGTCCAGCGACGACGTGGCACCAAGTCTTATTTATTTATTCTTTCGATTGATGTTTTAAATCAGAACAGATAGACCAGTACAAACAAGTAGCTCTTAGGTCCCTAAACAATTTAGGTGGCAACGCAAGACGCAAAAACGAACAATTGAAGCCAAATTGAAGCTAAACTTTTCTCGCCTTTCAAAGCATTTTTAATTCGTTCTCCTGTTCGTTTTGGCGATAACTAAAGAGCAAATAATCAGGGAAAAGAATATCAATGTTTTTGTTATTTCTTTCCTTTAGCTGTATTCCTGCATCAACGGTAAGCTTTAGATTTGAGTGATGGGGTTTTTAAATGGCGTAACTGGTTACGTTCTTCTGGAATTAAAACAAAAAAAAAAACAAACCCAGCAATCGTCCTATATAATTTTAAGCATGGTTTACTAAAAATTGCGCAACAATTTCATTCCATGGGAAAGGAAGTTGTATTTCCGACTTTTTATTATAATACAACTATCTGTTCTGATTTCGATAACGAGAAGGTGTTCGGAGTAAAATTAAGTCAGCTTTAATATTTCAATAAAAAATTCAATTTAATTATGAGTTCCACTGAATATAGTATCTAAATATTTTCGGAGTAATTTTTAATATGAGTATAATAATATGTATTAAAAAGCATATTAAATATAGATATGTATTATATTTAAATCAAATTCAGAGTTCATTATTTTTAATTATAAATTACTCAAAAGGTGTTTTTAACATAAGACAAATAAGTTTTTTTTCGTTTAAATTATTTTATTTCAGCACAATTCATTACCAGTACTGTACTTTTATACAGTTTATTAAACATTAAACATAGTGACTACCACTCACATCATAAATAAGCATTGGATGTCTTGTAAACTCAAGTTAAATTTTTTTAAAAACTTTGTTGTTCCTTTCTTTTTCTCATTCATATGGTAGCAGAATGTGTTTACATATACAACATTACAGGCAGCATAGTTGTCATTTCACAAAATAGTTGTCTTTTCACAAAAATCTACGTCTTTGGTATTTTTGGCATTTATAACAGGGATACATAGTTTATTTTAATGCTTTTAAGAGAGTTAACAAACATGATAAAATTGTTGATTTAAGAACCCAAGGCAACTCAGAGACCGGTGGATACCTTACTTTTAACGTGATAAAAATTTAAAAACACATATCTAAAGATTGAATGAATGAATCCAAACCATATACATACACTTTTATCAAAGTAAACAATGAAAGATTTTAACGATATTGCTTTTTCTTCTTGCTTCTATGAACATGAACGTTTAAACTGTTTCTAAATTCGAATAGTTTTACCGAAAAGTTCAGCAGCTTAACTTTTTGGTAAGAATCGTTTTAAAAATTCAGAACCACAAAATAACATGTAAATGTAAGTCCGCACGCAGTTTATTTACAGTTTGGCAACTAATTCTTTGCAAAATAGGAAATGTCCATTAAATTAATGTTGATGTTTAACATTTATTAACAAAAATATGATTTATTTCAATTTTTCTTTTATATCTTTTATCATATTGTAATTATGGATTAAAAAAAAATATAAATTTCAGCATAAAACACAGAAAAATAAATGAAAAACAAAAAAATTCGTCCCTCTTGGATGTGTTCTTATCTCTTATTTTCATTACGTTTTTGGTTTGGACAAGTGCACAATTGAATGCATTATTAACAATGCCTGGCAAACGTGTTGATAAAAATTTAATCCAACTAGTTTACTTTAATTATTATAAGGGTAAACCGGCAAAGGAGTTAGCAAAAATGTTTAATATTAAATTAAGGACAATATACAACATTACTAATCGGGCAGAAAATGAAAATCGGCTTCATCTGAATAATTCTGGAGGCAGACTAAAAAAGCTCACCAGACGCGATCAATCAAAAATTTTGGAAAAGATTGGCAAAAATCCACAAACTACACTCAAGCAGTTGGCATTGGAGTTAAAAAATGATTGCAATGTAACTGTGAGTCACGAGACTGTACGAAAAGTTCTCAATACTAACAAGTACTCATCACACGTAGCGAGAAAGAAACCAATGCTCTCTGCGCTAAACATCGAAAGGCGGCTCAAGGCGGATCTTTTGTGATGAAACTAAGATAATGTTATATTATCACGATGGGCCCAGCAAAGTTTGGAGAAAGCCGAAAACAGCCTTTAAACAGAAAAATATAATACCAACAGTGAAGTTTCGCAAACTAAATGTAATGGTTTGGGGATGTATTTCCTGCAAAGGTGTTGGAGAGCTTCGAATTTTTAATGAAATTCGAGTTTTATTTGGATATTTTAAAAAATGAACTAACAAACAGCTTGAAGGCGTTTGGGTTTATTAACCCTCAAAACCGAAATAAACTTCAATACAAACTTTATCAGGACAACGATCCCAAGTCGTCATACATCGTTACATTTTTTAAGTTTTGGTTACGAATCTAACAAATGTTTGCATTTTGCAAAGAATTTATTGACAACTGAAATTTTCTTATTTTTTTATTTTTGTTATTTTTTTCTCTGTTTAATGTTGAAATATAGTTAAGAATCAACCTTACAGTATTATAAAAGAAAAACTGAAATAAATCGTATTTTTATTAATCAATATTAATCTTAAAAATTGATATTATTGACTTTTTTCATTTTGCAAAGAATTAGTTGACAATATGTATGTATGTCTTTGTATACATGTATGTGCAGCGTGAGTGTACCCCTTATATGTATGTCGCTTTATTATTATACCCTTGCAGAGGATATTATTATTTCACTCAGAAGTTTTCAGCGCAGTAAAGCAGACATTTCCGACCCTGTAAGGTATATATGTATGTATATTCTTGATCAGCATCACTGATGCATCGATCTAGTGTATTATAAACGTTGTTTAATTAAGCTTGACCATTAGGTTGGTTTTGTCACCTTTAATTGGTTGAGTGCCATTATAATATTGATTCTAAGGGTTAGTGGCTCGGAGCTGCCCTGGTCGCTGCTAGCAGCGGCCATATAAGTTAACCGGGCGACGGCAATGACCGATCGTCCGAAGCCTCGCTCCGGCCAAACTGCTGACACAGCGCCTGGCCGGAAGCTCGTGCATAGCCGGTAAGAACTGCCCATTGGAGTGGCCGCTATGAGTCTCTTTCTTTGTTAGCCTTAAGTTCAGTTCTGATTTAAATCCAATAAAGAGCACATCGCTCGTAAAACAAACTCCGGCAATCGCCGTTAATCAATTTATCATTTGAACACTGACTGAGTCTTAAGGCCAGGAGTGAACGGAGGGCAGTTACCCTTCCAACATAATCTTCCTAAATCATACTTTGGGAAATCTTAGGCCAGCCTGCTAAGAGCCAGCAGCTAACACACAACTACCAGCAACCTACAGGCATCAGTGGACCTGACGTCTACCTACGTCGAGAGGACAGAAGAAGCTACCGTTTATCTCACCAATATACTAATTTATACATACATAGGAATGTTTATGCGCGCACATAAGGCGCAAAAGCGCGAGAGAAGTTGTAAATGCATCGGGTGCTTATGCGATCAGGCCATGGGAATATGCTGACACTTGGACCTTCCATATGTCTGGCTCTGAGGCGCGTTTTGGGTAGTCATATTTCTGTTGGCCAGTTTAGTTTGTGTTTATGTTAGTACACTGTATCAGAATGTTGGCATCGGTACAGCGGATACTCGCTTAAAGTTGATTTAACGATATATGCATACTACGTCTCCTCCTCCCTCCTTTTAAAAAATATCGTAATAAAATGAAAAATAGTTTCTATAGATTATAAATTTAAAACGTAAGCAGTGTATTGCTTAGGTTCGATAGAATGATGTGACTAACATTCCTATAACTACTTTTTATCCCGTTAATTTTAACGTTTAAAGGTTTTCCGTTGTTACCTTTAATAGGAGTAGAAATAATTTGTATACATTTAAGCCGCGCTTTTTCATTCCGTTTAGTCGTCAACTCCAAGCAATGAGCAAAATTGAATCTAAAAAGTACAATTTTGCTCATTGATGTATCAACCCCGGTGATATTTCATCGAATGGTATTTTTATACCAAAACCCGGTGTACATTTTTTAACTATTCATTACTCATTTCTCATTCATTACTCATTGAAATCGTCACGTTCGTAAAATCGTATGGTTAAAAAAGAAGAAATGAGCACTAAATGAGGTGAACAATGTAGTATCATAAGCTCATTAGTAATATTTTTTAAGTAATTACTTTCACATTTATGTTCTAATCCCGTTGTTCCGATTCGATGTAAAATTATGAACTAAAATTTCTTAAGCAATATTAGTTCCGAGAATGAGAGAGACAAGCGCAGACTTTGTAAAAAGCACGTTAACATTAAATTGAAATAGAAATATTAAGACTACGATAATAATTTCAGAAGTGGGATAGACACCTTTGTAACATCCGCCTTCATAAACATTTTGGCTATTCGAGAACTTACAATTTTTTTGCGACTCCATTTTGGAATGGACAAGTCGGAAATTTTAGAGTGGCTTGAAGCCAAGGAAATCGTGTTCCCAATAAGTGCAATTTTAAGACAACTGCGCAAGCTTGCTTTTGACGCCGGTTGCCAGAATGCGGCTGATATCCCGGAAAGAACATTGGGGGAAGAAGGCGCCAAACTTGAGGTATTAAGCCAAGACGACAGATGCATTCGTAGCTTGTTATCATTCTCGATTAATCCGGCCAATATCTTCTTCTTAGCTACCCTTATGGCGGCGTCAGGTAGTGCTTCTTCTTCGTCGATGTCTTCGCTAGCTGTTACCTTTGAAAGGTAAAAACTATTTCGTATAGATTTGAGCCTCGCTTTTTAATTTAGTTTTGTCGTGAACTCCAATAAATAAGCAAAATTGTACTTTTTAAATATTTCATCAAATGGTATTTTTATACCAAAACCAGAGCATATTTTTTACTATCGGGTTTTGGTCATAGGTTGTCTTGCTCGCACTTTCGTAAATTCGTATAGTTAAAACAAAAAATGAGCAATGAATGAGTCCAACAATGTAGTGTCATAAGCCCATGAGCATAGTGAACCTTTTAGTCGCAAGGTCACTACTTTTCGTACGTCTGAGAAGCTGAGAAGCTTTATTCAAAGTTTGCCTAGGCAAATCTATTTCTTATTTTCCTGCGCAGGATTTTTTTGTTTTATTTTGGTTTCCGTTAGTGACTCAAAATTTTATTATTCGTTTGAATATTTTTTAAATCTTTTATAGTTGTTTTTGAAAGCGTGTCGGCTATATGATTGTCTTTTTCTTAAGATATTCCACAGTAAAATCATATTCTTCTAAGTCTTATCTCATTCGTGTTAGTTTTGAGCTCGGGTTTGTCATTGAAAAAAAGTAAGTTAATGGCCTATGGTCTGTTGTGACTGTGAAATGTCTTTCATAAATATATGGTCGAAAATAATTTATCGCCCAGTAAATAGCTGCTAAATCTTGTTCTGTTTTTTTTTTGTTGATTTCTCCTTTTGTAAACGAGCTCGATGCATAGGAAACTGGTAACTGTAGCCAATTAAAATTTCATTGCGAATCATTTATAAATAAATCAATCAAAGATCACTAAACATAACATTCAAAACAAGTGTCCTAAAAGCCCGCTCACCTAAAAAGCAATCGTCGGTATAGTATGCAGGCAACATTCGCTCGCAAAACATCGACACGAGCTGATTTAGTTTTAATATATATATATAATATTAATATTTATACAATAACCCAATAGTAAATACGCCCATATTCTAAGGGTACCAAGTTTGAAAAGTGGCAAAAGACAAAATATTCTGGATGCGCCGAAATAAAATAAACGCACACATGCTTCTGTGTACGAGAATGCATGATCAAGCATACATACAAGGACGAATTCAAGCGCAGGGCAGCCTTCTTCAAAAGCGCCTCTCTGCGACTGAACGACTGAACTCGTGCAATGAGTGCGCGAGCATAAAAATGAGAATAAGAATGAGAGAGCAAAAAACCCGAACGCACACGAAGTGCATGGACCTGCTGCTGTGAGCACGGTGGACCTTCCGCGGTCCGTTTTTTTGTGTCCAAATGCGTCGTATGAAATGACCAGTCTATATGTTGTATGGTTAGTGGTTTAATGATCTATGATTGATTTCTTGTTGTTTTTTTCCTTTGCTATTTCTATGAGAGATGTTGTTTTTGGCAATGCAAGAAAAAGAGAAAACTTAAAACTAAATCAGCTCGTGTCGATCTTTTGCGAGCGAATGTTGCCTGCATACTATACCGACGATTGCTTTTTAGGTGAGCGGGCTTTTAGGACACTTGTTTTGAATTTTATGTTTAGTGATCTTTGGTTGATTTATTTTTAAATGATTCGCAATGCAATTTTAATTGGCTACAGTTACCAGTTTCCTATGCATCGAGCTCATTTACAAAAGGAGAAATCAACAAAAATACAACTGAACAAGATTTAGCAGCTATTTACTGGGCGATAAATTATTTTCGACCATATATTTTTGAAAGACATTTCACAGTCACAACAGACCATAGGCCATTAACTTACTTTTTTTCAATGACAAACCCGAGCTCAAAACTAACACGAATGAGATAAGACTTAGAAGAATATGATTTTACTGTGGAATATCTTAAGAAAAAGACAATCATATAGCCGACACGCTTTCAAAAACAACTATAAAAGTATTAAAAAATATTCAAACGAATAATAAAATTTTGAGTCACTAACGAAAACCAAAATAAAACAAAAAAATCCTGCGCAGGAAAATAAGAAATAGATTTGCCTAGGCAAACTTTGAATAAAGCTTCTCAGCTTCTCAGACGTACGAAAAGTAGTGACCTTGCGACTAAAAGGTTCACTATGCTCATGGGCTTATGACACTACATTGTTGGACTCATTCATTGCTCATTTTTTGTTTTAACTATACGAATTTACGAAAGTGCGAGCAAGACAACCTATGACCAAAACCCGATAGTAAAAAATATGCTCTGGTTTTGGTATAAAAATACCATTTGATGAAATAGTTAAAAAGTACAATTTTGCTTATTTATTGGAGTTCACGACAAAACTAAATTAAAAAGCGAGGCTCAAATCTATACGAAATAGTTTTTACCTTTCAAAGGTAACAGCTAGCGAAGACATCGACGAAGAAGAAGCACTACCTGACGCCGCCATAAGGGTAGCTAAGAAGAAGAAGATATTGGCCGGATTAATCGATAATGATAACAAGCTACGAATGCATCTGTCGTCTTGGCTTAATACCTCAAGTTAGGCGCCTTCTTCCCCGGATGTTACAAAGGTGTCTATCCCACTTCTGAAATTATTATCGTAGTCTTAATATTTTTATTTCAATTTAATGTTAACGTGCTTTTTACAAAGTCTGCGCTTCTCTCTCTCATTCTCGGAACTAATATTGCTTTAGAAATTTTAGTTCAACATTTTACATAGAATCGGAACAACGGGATTAGTACATAAACGTGGAAGTAATTACTTAAAAAATATTACTAATGAGCTTATGACACTACATTGTTCACCTTATTTAGTGCTCATTTCTTCTCTTTTAACCATACGATTTTACGAACGTGACGATTTCAATGAGTAATGAATGAGAAATGAGTAATGAATAGTTAAAAAATGTACACCGAGTTTTGGTATAAAAATACCATTCGATGAAATATCACCGGAGTTGATACATCAATGAGCAAAATTGTACTTTTTAGATACAATTTTGCTCATTGCTTGGAGTTGACGACTAAACGGAATAAAAAAGCGCGGCTTAAATGTATACAAAATACGAAATATTTTTGGCCCTTTTAAAGGTAACAACGGAAAACCTTTAAACGTTAAAATTAGCGGGATAAACACCATATAATAAACAAAACAATAAAGTATAAATTGAACGTTAAAAAGGCAGTGTGACCGTGAACTTATTACCAAGACAATCTCAAGTAGTATTTATATAGTTGTCTCTGCCTTTGAGCTTCAAAGAATTCGTCAATGAATGAGGGGAACAATGTAATGTCGTACCCGTATAAGAAGTAGTTATAGGAATGTTAATCACACCATTCTATCGAACCTAATCAATACACTGCTTACGCTTAAAATTTATAGTTATTTTATTTATTTATTTCATTTTATTACGTTATTTTTGAAAAGGAGGGAGATATAGAATGCTTATATCGTTAAATCAAATTTAAGCGAGTAGCCTCTGTACCAATGCCAACATTCTGATACAGTTTACTAACATAAACACAAACTAAACTGGTCAACAGAAATATGATTACCAAGAACGCGCCTAAAAGCAGACATATGGAAGGTGCAAGTGTCAGCATCAGTGCTGCCAGATTTTGAGAGATAAAATAAGCTAGATTGAAGAAAAAAATAAGCTAGAATAAGCTAAAAATTAAAAAAATTAAGCTAAAAATAAGCTAACCATGGAAAACATTAAAATAGTTGATTTTTTACTTTTGTTGATATTATATTTATATAGTTATTAGAGCAAAGAAATAATTTCATCGACTTCATCATTCGATTTCATATATTTAGCGGATGAGCTGACTAAAGCGAGGTATTTCGTTGGAAGTATGTAGTCATGGCAACATTTGCCATGACGTCGCAGTCCATATCTATAACATAAAAAAAAATACTTAGTATATTTTAAATAATTTAAAATGTCAAAAACAAACCTTATTCATAAAATTGCGTTCAAGCTTTTTAAATTCATTTTGTTGCGCAACTTTGTTTTGACCATGTTCATTTGGCTGAATACCCTCTCAACCGCAGCATTCGACCATGGCAGTGAAAGAATGTGCAAAGCAAATAACTCCAGTTGCTCGAAAGCTTTGTTTTGGCCAGCATCCTTATACATCAAAACTTCTGACCAAAACTCTATAGTTATTTCCTTTTTTTCCCAATTAATAAGGTGGATTTTTCCAAATTGGGATACTATTTCATCAATATTTTCATATTTGAAATGTTCCAACAACGAAATAATTTTATCTGGCGTTATATTTGCTTGTAGCATATTGCCAACGCCGAAAATATCCATTTGTTTTAGTACTTCAATGTCCAAATTATCGATTAAAATTACCAAAAATTATAATACAATCGAAAAATAAAAAATTTGTTGTTATAAATTTTTTTAAGCCGAAATAAGCTAAATGAAATTTGAAATAAGCCAGATTTTAAGCTATATGCATTTCAAGTATTTTTCAAGCTATTTCATTTTAAAATATGCTAAATCTAGCTTGAAATAAGCTAAAATGGCAACAATGGTCAGCATATTCCCATGGCCTGATCGCATAATTCGCGCCTTATGTGAGCGCATAAACATTCGTATGTATAAATTAATTATAAGTCCTGTTTAAGGATTTATTTTAAGACGCACTGTACTGTACGAATGACAAGTCTTGGTAATTGCCGTCACGGTTTATTTCCAAAATTATAATTATCTTATATCGAAAGCTAGCCCTATGCCCTAGAAGTGCTGACCCGGCTGCCCATGCATGGTCTGGGTAGCCGCCGTTGCATCAGAGTGCATTGCGCTGACCGAAGCTTGGGGTTTTGGCGACGTCGTTGTGCAACATTCGTAGGTGTCGCTGATCTTGCATTATTTAAGTCTGTTGTGCATGATCAGCTTGGGAACTTCCGTGTTGCTGTGAAACCGTGTTAACTCCTCCCTTACTTAGATGAAGGACGGCCTCGGACTTCTTGAAGCTGTCAATGATAATTTAAAGGTCACGCTGACGTTGGTCTCGGTGGCATCTTTGGTAGAGCTTGTAAATAGTGAAATTGTAAAGCAAGTGACCAAGAAGGCGATCGTGGTCACTCCAGATATTATAGTCCCTTTCCAGTCCCTTTTCTATTTCGCCAATGTAACGTATATTTATATTTAATTTTTGTAAGTATGGTAAGCTCAGTATTTCTTGATGGCCCGTAATGTTAAGGACTGTTGATGCAGTTGAGGCTGGTGACTTCTTAACGTAGCTCTTCAAGTTTTGGTATACGGCGTTATTTATTTTTACCTCGTCATCGAATGTAAAGAGGAACGTTCCGGTTACCAGTTGTCCATTGATCGTAACTGTTCCGTCATTAAGAATGATAATGCCATCATCGATGATTGTTAGGTGTTCAAGGTGGCTGGTGCGAGTTGAACAGTGTGCGTTGCCTCCTGGGTGAAGTTGCTGTGCGCAGTTTGTGTAAGGCATTTCTCTGCAAAATGTTGTTATAAGGGCGGTGCTGCAGTTTCCAATCGGCATGATTTTGTTACCGCAATCAGCAAAATTAATAATAGTGCCGTTGTTTTCAACGGGGTGCTAGATTATCTTCTTACAAGCTAAATACGGCTTAGGATATTTTAATATAAAGGGTAAAAATTATTATTTTATAAAACTTTGAGCAACTTCCATTAGATAAGTAACAGTAACATTTGTAGAATGTTCATTGATTAAATTTTGTAAATCATTTGAATCTAAAATTGCGGGGTTGATTATTCCAATTTTCGTAAGTAAAACTGACAACATTCTTGATAGCAATTTTTCATACAAATTTTCTGTATTTATCTGTTCTACTTTTGCGTTTTTTACTAAAATGTTTACTGTGTTTGTTAGGATATTTATTTGTTCCTGGGTCTTTGTGTTAATGTTGCTGCCTGTTTTCTGATTCTATGAGTTCTTTCTGCTTGAATTTAATTTTCTCGAAGTCATCGAAATCTGAAGTACCGGCTTTTAATGCTGTACCTAATAAGTTGATGCTTCTGGCGAGTCTATGGTGAACATTTAATTACCTCAAATTGTCCTTATGGACCACCCTCCCCTTTATTAAGACTGTGGTGCCCAAGTTTGCTTCTATGGTTTCCTCGGTGTACAAATTGGAAAGTTTGTTTCCCAACCTCTAATTTGATTTTACGAGAACTTTGTCTCCTACTTGAAAATTTCTGTCTTGTCTAGTTTTATTTAATCTTTGTAGTTGGATGTTCTGTGCATTTGAGACTTTATCTCTAATTTCTGCATTAAGCTTTATGGTTTATGAATGAATTATGTCGATGGGTCGTTTATTTGTTACAGAGTAAATTGTTCTATTGTATTCTATAGCCGCGAGGAGTAGTAATTCAACCGTTTCCTCAATACCTCTTTCGATTTTTAAACACCGTGCTTTTTCTGTTAGTGTACTGTGGAATCTTTCCACTTGTCCATTCGATGTACTGTGAAGCGGTGGTGCATTAACGATTTGCACGTTAAACCGGTTGCTTAAAAAAAAAACTAATTATTTCAGATTTTATAGAGGGCTCATTATCGCAATATATTGTTTTCGGTCGCCGGTAGAAATTAATAGGTTTTAAAATCGCGGTTTGCACATCTGCAATGGTTCTGGAAGCGATTGGTTGAACAATTGAAAATTTTGAAAATTTATCTACGCAAGTTAAAAAGTATTTTTTATATGTTGAAAATTTGTAAATGTGTAGGATTTCGCCTGCGTACGAGGGAATGGGTGTTTCTCCGAGAATCTGTTTCTGAGGGTGTCTATCGTATTTTGTCTTCTGGCATATTTTACAATTTGCGAACACCTCATTAGCCATATGAGTCATTTTGGGAAAAAAATAGTCTTGCAAAATCTGTTTCACGTTTTTTTGAGCGGCCCTATGAGCCCTGTTTTGTTCTGACACCGTAGTTTCCTGTTGCTCATTTTTGTCTAGGATGTCAGGCACCAAACGGTTCGTGTAACGGAATGTGGTTCCCGGAAAAGTTTGTATTAACTTATGTTGGATAAATGCCAGTACTGGTAGTTCGCATAAAATTGTATTGACTACGTCTTTTTTGACCACATCGCATACTCTCTGTATAAGAGTTTCTCTATCCGAGAAATATAAGAGATGTCGAGTTTTTTCACCAAATATAATGACCGTTCTAACTGAAGCAGTTCAGCTTTCTTCTATAATTATCTGTTTCCGAAAGCAGTTGACCGGTTTGTCTGGGCGTTGTGATCGTCAATGAAAGCTTTCCAGCGCTTAATTTTTGCGTTTGGATTGCGATCCCTTTCCTTAGTTGCAAAATTTAGTTCCCTGTCCTTTAAAGTTCGTGATATCATGGTTAGAGGTTTTCCGTCCTGTGACAAGACTGCACCCAAACCAAAAGACAAAGCATCTGTCGTCCAGTCGAACGCTTTTTTGTAATTTGGATATAATAGCATTACGTTTTCAGACGCGAGAACAGTCTTAAGTTTTTCATATGCCTGACGTTGATTTTCTTCGAAGTTAACAGGAATTTTCTTTGATTGTCCTTGACCTTGCCATTTTCTCCTTTTAGGATGTCACTTATAGGTTTTGCCTATGTTTTTATGTTTCCCTGTCCATCGGTCCTTTTTTTATCAACGACCCAAACAGGGTTTTTAAA